AATTTATTTATTTATTTATTTTAAATCAAATGTAAATAAAATGTGTTTAATAAGAAAAAATAAAGCCCCCTGAGTGTCATAAAAATAGTTGAAGTGGTTCATTTATTTAGCACGGACAACTCTTGTGTGAACACGAATTAAAAATATATTTGTGTAAGTTCAGTTTTGTGACCACGCACTTTCTTTTTCTTTACAAATAACAGAGAAAATCTCTTTGATTTTGCAGCCAGGCTGGTTTATTTTGGGATTACTCATAAAGTTATCTTTTGCTCCCGTAGCTAATCTTTCTAGCCCATAATCCTGCTGTCTAGTTTTAGTTTTGATCATATCAATCCGGTGTAACAGTTATCTTCTAACATATGCTTTAAAAACACCCAAAATCTCCAGTTTCCTTGTGTCGTTCACTGTAAAAAAAAAAAAAATTCTCCGTAATCCCATTTTCTTGACCTAGTTTAGTAAATCAAAGGGATGGCTTCCAATTGTATCTCCGCCGTCCCCAAAGCCATTCCAAATTCACTACTGGCCGGCTACCAGCCCTTTAGCACATGTGCAGAGTATGAAGGTGAAATCACACTCTCTATAGACAATCATTTGTAGACCCCTATGAGTTGTTGGACATCCTATTCCAAAACCATGGGCTTTGATATAGAGTTGTCCCCCTTGGACCTTTGCAGCTATAATAGCCTCCACTGGGAAGGCTTCCCAGAAGATGTTGGAGCATGTCTTTGGAAAGCTGTGCCCATTTAGCCAATAGAGTATTTACGGGGTCACTTTTGATGTTGCAGAAGACCTGGCTCGCAACTGGTGTTTCAATGGATCCCAAAGGTGTTGAGGTCAGGGCTCTGTGTAGGCCACCTAAATTCCTCCACACCAAACTGGTCAAACCGTGTCTTTATGGATCTGGCTTTGTACACAGGGGAACAGTCAGGCTGGAGAAAAAGATGGACCTTCACCACACTGTTATTATTATTATTATTATACAGTATTTATAAAGTGTCAACAGTTCGCTCAGCGCTGTACATTACAAAGGGGGACAGAACATGTGACAGAACAATAACAATACAATGCAAAACATGAGGGAATCGAGGGCCCTGCTCTTTCGAGCTTACAATCTAGGAGGGAGGGGATGGTGGCACAGGAGGAGATAGCTGTGGGGGATGGGGTGGTAGGAAGAGTGGAGGAGGTTGGCAAGTTAGCGGGGGGGTGGGGTAGGCTTCCCTGAAGAGGTGGGTCTTCAGGGTGCGCCTAAAGGAGAGGAGAGTAGGTGATAATCTGATGGGTTGGGGCAGGGAGTTCCAGAGGATGGGTGACACCCTGGAGAAGTCCTGGAGGCGGGCATGGGAGGAGGAGACCAGGGAACTAGAGAGAAGGAGGTCTTGTGAGGAGCGGAGTGTGTGTGCCGGGTGGTACTTGGATATTAGGTCGGTGATGTAGTTCGGGGCAGTATGGTGGACGGCTTTGTACGTCAGTGTTAGGATTTCGAATTTGATCCGTTGCGCAATCGGAAGCCAGTGGAGGGATTGGCAGAGGGGGGTGCCGGAAACGGAGCGGTTGGAAAGGTGAATGAGTCTGGCAGCCGTATTCAGGATCGACTGATGGAAGCACAATTGTCTAAAATGTCTTCGTATGCCGTAGTATTAATAACCCTTCAGTGGGGTTGAGGTCAGGGCTTTGTGCAGGGCTCTCAAGTTCCTCCACACCAAACTGGTCAAACCATGTCTTTATGGAGCTGGCTTTGTACAAAGGGGAAGGGTCATGCTGGAAGAAAAGAAGGACCTTCCCCACACTGTTACCACAAGGATGGAATCACAATTGTCTAAAATGTCTTTGTATGCCGTAGTATTAATATAACCCTTGAGTAGGGGTGAGGTCAGGGCTTTGTGCAGGGCTCTCAAGTTCCTCCACACCAAACTGGTCAAACCATGTCTTTATGGAGCTGGCTTTGTACACAGGGGAACAGTCATGCTGGCACAGAAAAGGGTCTTCACCAAACTGTTACCACAAGGTTTGAAGCGTACAAAATGTCTTTATATGATGTAGCATTAATATTACCCTGTATTAAAAAAATGCCTGAACTCAATCATTTGGAGGAGGGCCCAAAGACGTTGGCCATATACAGTGCTCATCATAAATGAGTCCACCCCTTTTGAAAAGTAAGATTTTAATCAATATCTCAATGAACACAAGAACATTTGTTCGGATCATTACATGACAGTAAGGTTAATATTAGAACTTAGATTACAAAATCTTCAGTTTTACTCAAATGAGTTGATGCAAAAATGAATCCCCACAACAAAATCTCCTCCGTCTAGTATTCTGTATGACCTCCATGATTTGTAAGGACAGCACTGAGTCTTCTAGGCATGGAATGAACAAGTTGGCGACATATTGCAACATCGATCTTTTTCCATTCTTCAAGAATGACCTCTTTTAGAGCCTGGATGCTGGATGGAGAGCGATGCTCAACTTGTCTCTTACGAATTCCCAATAGGTGTTGGATTGGGTTCAGATCAGGAGACATACTTGGCCACTGAATCACTTTCACCCGGTTCTTCTTCAGAAATGCAACTAGATGTGTGTTTTGGATCATTGTCATGTTGGAAAAGTGCACGATGAGCAAGGGCTGGGAGTGATGGTAGCATCTTCTCTTCCAATATAGAGCAGTACATCTGTGAATTCATGACACCATCAATGAAATGAAGCTTCCTGACACCAGCAGCACTCATGCAGCCCCACAGAAGGGCACTGCCACTACCAGGTTTTACGGTAGGCACCATGCATTTTTCTTGGTTCTCCTCACCTTTGCCATGCCATACAATTTTGAAGCCATCAATTCCAAAAACATTTATCTTGGTCTCATCACTCGATCTCAAGTTCCTCCACACCAAACTAGTCAAACCATGTCTTTATGGAGCTGGCATGATACAGAGTCCCAGTAATCTTCTTTTTCAACATGGGCCCTGGTAAATTTTAGGCGGGCTTTTTTGTGCATGGGCTTTAGGAAAGGCTTCCTTCGTGGACGACACCCATGCATGCTATTCCTCTGCAGTGTACGCCGTATTGTGTCACAGGAAACCATCACCACACCACTTTGGCTTTCTACTTCTTTAGCTCTCTCAGGGGATCAGGAAAGAATTTTGTTCCCTGCAGGAGCATATTGGATCATGCTTTGCTGGGTTTTTTTTTGCCTTCCTCTGGATCAACTGTGGGTGTAGGATTACACTGTAACTTTTTTTTTCTTTTTTTTATAGTGGTTGAACTGGATGGACTTTTGTCTTTTTTCAGCCAGACTAACTATGTAGCTAATTGCAGTGAACTTGCATGGCGATTTTCTTCACCCATTCTGATCAGAAGGCTCTCCTGTCGAGCTTCCATGTATGGCCTGGACGTCTCTGTGAGATGGTTGCAACTCCATCTTTGGTAAATTTTTGTATCACTTTTGCTCTAGTATTCTGACTGATAAGTAAAGCTTTGCTGACCTTCTTGTAGCTTTTACCTTTCTTATGTAAAGAAATTATTCTCAGGCTTTGTGACATTTCTCTTTTATGTGTTGCCATTGCTGACAGCATGAAATGGGTGGGGTTTTCTTCATTAAGTAACGCCCTTTTATAATCAGCTGTCTGCTGGACACCTGTTAAATGAATAATTAGACTCACCTGGAGCTGAATTCTTGTTCATTAGGATTTTGTCGTCTTTTGTTGACTTTCATTGGGGTGTGTTCATTTTTGCAACATGATCATGAATGAATTTGTTAGGAAAAATACTGTTTTGTGTATGAAAATTACTGAATCTTCTCTGCAATCAAGGACGGCCGCTCTGGACATCGAGTCTTACAGATTCAACCTTGAGGGCACCCATAATGCTGATGCCGCCCGCAATCGACACGCCTGCTCTATAGGATGCACCGAGAGCTTTGCAAAGATGTGGTACATAAATGTGTCTTATCCAATGCTCGGTTCCATCAAAGAAGTGGGATTGTGTGCCAGTGAACAGATTTATAGATGACAAAGAGAAGGACTTCTAACTTTTAGAAATCGAAGAAAGTCGAGAGACAGAAAAGAATAGGCACACATCCTGCAACAGGCCAAGTTCCTCCATGAACCGTAGCACTGTGGAGTGGCATGCCTTCCAAGTAATAAAGTCAGTTGAAAGGGGTGCATTTAAAAATAAATTGTATAGCAACGCAGTGAAAGTACCATATTTTCCGCTCCATAAGACACACCTAGATTTTGGAGGAAAACAAGAAAAAAATATTCTGAACCAATGGACTGCAGACATAGTACAGGAGATGACCAGAGACTGTGGACACAGTACAGGAGATGACCAGAGACTGCGGACACAGTACAGGAGATGACCAGAGACTGCGGACATAGTACAGGAGATGACCAGAGACTGCGGACACAGTACAGGAGATGACCGGAGACTGCGGACATAGTACAGGAGATGACCGGAGACTGCGGACACAGTACAGGAGATGACCAGAGACTGCGGACACAGTACAGGGGATGACTGGAGACTGCGGACACAGTACAGGAGATGACCAGAGACTGTGGACACAGTACAGGAGATGACCAGAGACTGCGGACACAGTACAGGAGATGACCAGAGACTGCGGACATAGTACAGGAGATGACCAGAGACTGCGGACACAGTACAGGAGATGACCGGAGACTGCGGACATAGTACAGGAGATGACCGGAGACTGCGGACACAGTACAGGAGATGACCGGAGACTGCGGACACAGTACAGGAGATGACCGGAGACTGCGGACACAGTACAGGGGATGACTGGAGACTGCGGACACAGTACAGGAGATGACCAGAGACTGTGGACACAGTACAGGAGATGACCAGAGACTGCGGACACAGTACAGGAGATGACCAGAGACTGCGGACATAGTACAGGAGATGACCAGAGACTGCGGACACAGTACAGGAGATGACCGGAGACTGCGGACATAGTACAGGAGATGACCGGAGACTGCGGACACAGTACAGGAGATGACCGGAGACTGCGGACACAGTACAGGAGATGACCGGAGACTGCGGACACAGTACAGGGGATGACTGGAGACTGCGGACACAGTACAGGAGATGACCAGAGACTGCGGACACAGTACAGGGGATGACTGGAGACTGCGGACACAGTACAGGAGATGACCAGAGACTGCGGACACAGTACAGGAGATGACCAGAGACTGCAGACACAGTACAGGAGATGACCAGAGACTGCAGACATAGTACAGGAGATGACCAGAGACTAGAGACATAGTACAGAAGATGACCAGAGACTGCGGACATAGTACAGGATATGACCAGAGACTGCAGACATAGTACAGGAGATGACCAGAGACTGCGGACATAGTACAGGAGATGACCAGAGACTGCGGACATAGTACAGGAGATGACCAGAGACTGCGGACATAGTACAGGAGATGACCAGAGACTGCGGACATAGTACAGGAGATGACTAGAGACTGCGGACATAGTACAGGAGATGACTAGAGACATAGTACAGAAGATGACCAGAGACTGCGGACATAGTACAGGAGATGACTAGAGACATAGTACAGAAGATGACCAGAGACTGCGGACATACTACAGGAGATGACCAGAGACTGCGGACACAGTACAGAAGATGACCAGAGACTGCGGACACAGTACAGGAGATGACCAGAGACTGCGGACATAGCACAGAGAGATGACCAGAGACTGCGGACATAGTACAGGGGATGACCAGAGACTGCGGACACAGTACAGGAGATGACCAGAGACTGCGGACACAGTACAGGAGATGACCAGAGACTGCAGACATAGTACAGGAGATGACCAGAGACTAGAGACATAGTACAGAAGATGACCAGAGACTGCGGACATAGTACAGGATATGACCAGAGACTGCAGACATAGTACAGGAGATGACCAGAGACTGCGGACATAGTACAGGAGATGACCAGAGACTGCGGACATAGTACAGGAGATGACCAGAGACTGCGGACATAGTACAGGAGATGACCAGAGACTGCGGACATAGTACAGGAGATGACTAGAGACTGCGGACATAGTACAGGAGATGACTAGAGACATAGTACAGAAGATGACCAGAGACTGCGGACATAGTACAGGAGATGACTAGAGACATAGTACAGAAGATGACCAGAGACTGCGGACATACTACAGGAGATGACCAGAGACTGCGGACACAGTACAGAAGATGACCAGAGACTGCGGACACAGTACAGGAGATGACCAGAGACTGCGGACATAGCACAGGAGATGACCAGAGACTGCGGACATAGTACAGGGGATGACCAGAGACTGCGGACACAGTACAGGAGATGACCAGAGACTGCAGACATAGTACAGGAGATGACCAGAGACTGCGGACACAGTACAGGAGATGACCAGAGACTGTGGACATAGTACAGGAGATGACCAGAGATTGTAGACTTTTGGTTGCTGCTAGTTTTTTGTATTTGTGGAGATAAGGAAAAAGGGAAGTGTTCATTTTCCTAAAATTTTAGCAAAAAAACTAAATGAAGCAGCAGAACTTCGAGAAGAACAGTAGAATCGAAGGTCAAGGCAACACTGAGGTGTAGAGGAGAAGATGGACGTCGTTCAAACCGACCCCAGGAGTCAGACACATGGATGGCTTGGCCTCAGCCACTGCTCCAGCCACGCCAGCGGACGCGTTTCACTCCGCCCACCAGGGCTGATCACAGAGAGGTGTAGTTTGGAAGTTTTTAATGGTGTGGTGGGCTTTTAATGGCTGCTGAGGATTACAGAAGATATATTTCTCCTGGACCTGTGCTTGGTCTAAAAAAAAACTCACCTTCATTGGCCTAAATATTTTACCTTTTTTCTCACAGAAGTAAAAAAAAAAAAAGAATACACCAATCAATCTTGACATTCTGATCACTGGCAGGTCTAGAACAATGATTATCTCACGACAATGGTATCTGAAAATGAGTGAGATCAATTAGGCAGCGAGTGAACATGTTGTCCCTGAAGTTGATGTGTTGAAAGCAGAAAGAATGGGCAAGTGTAAGGATGTGAGCGACTTTGGCTAGACAACTGAGTCAGATCCAGGGGCGGACTGACCATATGGAAACGGTCAGTAGGGGGCCCCATGAGATGCCCCTGGTACCTTTTTCAAAGGCTTTTTTGAGTTTGGGCAAGGACACAGGGGCCCCATGATCCCCCTATTGCCCGGGGGGCCCCATGAGTTGTCAGTCCGCCCCTGGTCAGAGCAACTCCAGAACTGTAGCTCTTGTGGGATGTTCCTGGTCTGCAGAGGTCAGGAGCAACCAAAAGTGATCCAAAGAAGGAAAACCGGCCACAGGGTCATAGGTGGCCAAGGTTCATTGATGCACATGAGGACATAGGCATTTTTCAGGGGGGGGGGGGGGGGGCGGTGCCACTTCCACGTGAAATGGACAGAAGTGGCAGGTGATAGAGAAAGGAGAAGCAGGTAAGGCACTGCAGGAGCTCCTCTCCTGAGGATGGTGTAGAGGAGATGTGTCATCTCCAGAGACACCTCCTCACATGCCGGTATGTTTGTAGCAGTCTCCGCTGGGATCCACAAGTGCTGGATAGTGTCAGACAGGCTCTCCTTGCCGGTCCTGATCATGGCTTGGGCGGTGCCCAATGGATGGCATTTTGTGGTGGTGAGTGCTGGTAGAACTCAGTCTCTCTCTCTCTCTCTCTCTCTCTCTCTCTCTCTCTCTCTCTCTCTCTCTCTCTCGTGTAGATGGGGAGTATCCGATTTTAGGCTTGCCTAGGGCAGCACAATACCTAAATACACCACTGCATGGGGAGCGAAGGCTGACTCGAGTGGTCCGATCCAAAAGAAGAGCTACTGGAGCTCATACTGCTGAAAATTGCTGTCAGAACACTAATGCATTCTAGTTTGTTGTGTATGGGGCTGCGTAGCCGCAGATCGGTCAGGATGTCCATGCTGACCCATGTCCACAGCCAAAAGCGCCTACAATGGGCATGTGAGCATCAGAACTGGACCATGGAGCAATGGAAGAAGGTGGCCTGGTCTGATGGATCACATTTTCTTTTACATCATGTGGATGGCCGGGTGGGTGTGCGTCACTTACCTGGGGAAGAGATGACACCAGGATGCAGTATGGGAAGAAGTCAAGCCCATGAAGGCAGTGTGATGCTTTGGACAATGTTCTGCTGGGAAAACTTGGCTCCTGCCATTCATGTGGATGTTACATGTACCGCCTACCTAAACATTGTTGGTGACCAAGTGCACCTCTCCATGAAAATGGTATTCCCTAATGGCAGTGGCTTCTTTTAGCAGGATAATGCACCTTGACACACTGATAAAAATGGGTCAAGAATGGTTTGATGAACACGTCAAGTTTGAGATGTTGACCTGGCCTCCAAAGTCTCCAGATCTCAATCCACTCAAGCATCTGTGGGATGTGCTGGAAAAACAAGTCCGATCCATGGATAATGCTGACACACTGATAAAAATGGGTCAAGAATGGTTTGAGGAACACATCAAGTTTGAGATGTTGACCTGGCCTCCAAAGTCTCCAGATCTCAATCCACTCAAGCATCTGTGGGATGTGCTGGAAAAACAAGTCCGATCCATGGATAATGCTGACACACTGATAAAAATGGGTCAAGAATGGTTTGAGGAACACATCAAGTTTGAGATTTGACCTGGCCTCCAAAGTCTCCGGATCTCAATCCACTCAAGCATCTGTGGGATGTGCTGGAAAAACAAGTCCGATCCATGGAGGCCTCACCTCCCAACTTACAGGACTTAAAGCTGTTGCCAAACTACAAGTCCCATGAGGCATTGCAAGATTGACAGTTACAAGCATGACTCCCAAAGGTAGAGGCATGATGGGACTTGTAGTTTTCGCAACAGCTAGAGCCACAGTTTGACATCCATGACTTAAAGAACCTGCTACTGCCAGCTTGGTGCCAGAAACCACCGCCTAGCTTCAGAGGTCTAGTGGAGCCCATGACTTGATGGGTCACGGCTGTTTTGGTAGCAAAAGGGGGACCTACTCAATGGTGGATGGTCATGTTATGGTTAATTGGTTTATATAGACAGCGAAAAAAAAAAGTAAAATAAAAGTAGTAAACAAACACAAACATAAAAAACTACAAAGATAAAATAAACTTCCAAAAAGGACATCCCTAAGGAAAAAAAAAAACCTCTAAGCATAGAAAAAAGTAGATCTTCTTTTCCAAGCAAAAGTCACCTACATGCTTCAGTGAGCGAAAGAGTTTGGGCTCTGGTAAGATTTCGAAAATTGTAAAATCAATTCTATTGTTGTGAAATCAATTTCCTCTGAAAATCACAGCACTTATCTCCTAGTTCTGAGAGTTCTGTTGCTATTCCCAGACGGCCTGTCTTCTGGATTTGTTGACTTGTCGGCCATCTGGTCTTCTATGTATAAATATATATATATACCCATACCAGATGCAGCTGTTTTGGGTCCTATCCAGGAAAGTTGTGGCCATTCAAACTCCGCGCGTTCACATTTCCTTCTCTAGCTGAGCAGACTGCATACCCATGGAGTTTGGACAACCCAGAGCAGTTCCTACTAAGGTTAGCTGGAGCCAGATACTCACATGTGCAGTTTGAGTGGCCCAGATTGGCCACTAGGGGAGTACAATATGGTGGCATTCAGTCCATCCTGCAAATGACAGGATAGAGAGATATAGAGGAGGGGGGGGAGGCTTTCTAGAAAAGACCTAAAACAGCTGCATCTGGAATGAGATGACCTCAGGGGCGGACTGACCATTTGGAAACCCGGGCACTGCCTGAGGGCCCGGGGTCAGTAGGGGGCCCCATGAGATGCCCCTGGTACCTTTTTCATAGGCTTTTTTGAGTTTGGGCAAGGACACAGGGGCCCCATGATCCCCTATTGCCCGGGGGCCCCATGAGTTGTCAGTCCGCCCCTGGATGACCTTCAACGTTTCCAAAAGGTATCTAGCATTTATTAGGTGTAGGATGGCATTGGGGGGGGTTTCCAAAACACACTTTAACCACTTGCCTTCCGCCTGCTGTTTATAAATGGCCAGATGGTGGCACTCCAGGGGCGGGTTGCTGTTCCTAAACGGCACCCACATTTTCTAGCTGTGCGCACTCCCTGGGAGCGCACAGCACCGCGATCCGGTGCCCGCTCTGTCCTCCACACAGTGGAACACCGATCGACAGACGGGACCCGATCATGTGATCACTCGTTGGCCAATCAGTGATCACATGCAGAGTAGTAAGCAACGATGTCACTTGTGACATCGTTGCTTACTACGTGTGAAATCTGTGAATGATCACAGAGATCACATGGTACAGGGCTATTCACAACAGCCATGTACCTTGTGACAAGCTGTGACCAATCACAGCTCTCACAGTAGTTCTCAATGGCTGCAAGAATGCAGCCAGAGAGGAGAAATGATTGCTTTTACAGCCTTTATGGGTGTAAAAGCAACCAGTGTAAAAAAAAAAATCTTCATCACCCCCCACAAGTAGTACAGTGTCACCATGGTGACACTGTACTGCTAGGGTGACAGTATGTAAAAAAAAATTAAAATTATAATTTTTTGGTTATAAACTAATTTGGGTTATTTTCTTTACTAAAAAGATCACAAAATAAATTTTGGCCAAGATTTATGATGAAATACTATTTATTTGCAAAATTTTATAAGAAAAACACTTTTTTTCAACATTTTTGGACTTTTTCATTTACATAGCAAAAAAAATAAAAATCCCAGTGGTGAATAAATACCACCAAAATAAAGCTTTATCTGTCTCAAACAAATGCTAAAAATGTATATGGGTACAGTGTTGCATGACCGCACAATTGTCATTCAAAGTGTGAAAATTGGCCTGGACAGGAAGGGGGTGAAAGTGTCCAGACATGAAGGGGTTAAAGACAAAAATGAATGCAGCTCTGCAATCATTATACCATCATTAAGTGTAAGGAAATGTGCAAGGAAGAAACAGTACAAGGCTTCAACTAGTCCATGTGCTGACAAGAAGCAGTCTCTTGAGATCTAGGTTGGGGCTGGTCCGGGATGACTTGGCTCAGAAGAAGTAGGTTGAATCAGTTCATGTAATGTGCAAGGAGCATGCTCATAGGAGGAGAGAGCAGAGTGAAAGAGAGATTAACTCATTTCTGTGCTGCGTCTCCTTTCACTGTCGAGATATACGTTGGGGATTGGTCTGAGATGACTTGGGCTCAGAAGACGTAGGTTGAATCAGTTCATGTAATGTGCAAGGAGTAGGATGATAGGAGGAGAGAGCAGAGTGTCAGAGAGATTAGCTAATTACTGTGCAGCTTCTCCTTTTACTGTCAAGATATAGGTTGGGGGTTGGTCC